TGGGCCGACACGGAAATAATTGTCCAAATCATCGAAATAATCAATAAGATAGGAATCACTGGGTAATGCGATCCGTTCATCTATGTATATCAAAGAATTAATAATCGAATATAATCAAACGCATTTGTAATCGTTGAATTATTTCAAACTTACCAAGTCCTAACTCAACTTGAGGCACCAACTTAGTCCAATCATAAATATACCAATAAATACTGTAATTACTGTGATCTCAGCATTTTTTTTAATATGAACGGTGCATAATACTTCTCCCATTTTTGAAGTGTACCTTCTCTATCAATCGTTTCTGGTGTATTTTCAATCTTAATACACGGAAAACAATCCATCCTATCATCCTCTTGTCGTTTAACATCTAAAGATAGAAACGCTATGAACACAGTTACTTGTAATAAATAATCTACCTATACAGCTAAAGCAGCATAAAGAGCAAAATTTCGTACAGCCGGAATTGTAACTATGCCACCAAAACCGAATGCGATAGTTTCACCTAACACAATAAGAGTATACTTGGTCCCATTCGACCTAAAGTCTTTGCGATACGCTCTTCAACAGACTCATCACCACCTGATCTTAAAGTCAATCTCTCGAATTCATGGTTAAGAATAAAAATGTTATCTACTCCCACGGCTAGTACAAGAAACTGAATGACTTCAGCGATAATTAGCGTAACCTTGATTCCAAGGAATGAGAAAATTCCGACTGAGGTTGAAACTGACGTCAAAACTATGAATATACCACAAATGCCCAGCATAAATTGAGTCAATAATCATGCGTAGGAGAGTTGATTTATTACCCAAAGCCACAGATACATAGAAAAACATGACTAAATACGAAAGTACGATAGTGAAAATATCAATGTTGGTCGATTTACTTAATTCAGGTTCTAAAGAGCTCTGATACATAAATTTTTTACGTTTAAATTTTTTCGTCATAAAAAATAAACCGTTTATGGATAAAATTAATAAGTTAGATGATAATAAATAAAACCAAAAGATAAAAAAAAAAAAAAAAGAATGTTTACATACTTCTGTTGAAAAGCTTATTCTAATATCAGTAACATCGACATCATTTTCACCTTCAATGACTTTGTGCAAATATTTTCTCAATTTCTTCCCATTATTCAGCCATTTTTGCTTTATCTTTTTCCAAATAATTATTCAAAACAAAGGTTAACATCAAAGCTCTTGCTTGTTTATAATTAAAATTTTCGAAACCTCCAAGAATCATATCGGGTTTTAATGGTTGCTGAAAATCAGGTAAACAAAATGAAGGAGCAGAGTGCAAGTACCAAAATCATCTTCCCAAATTTCTTCTTTGAAATTGTTAAAGTTAGATTGCCAATAGCCCGCTACCGATTGAACAATAAACACATCACCATTAGGATGAAAACATAAATCCTGTAGAGTATAATCATGAGGGATCACGAATTTGGTTCTCTATTACTACGCCAATAACTTGCCATTCATGAAATTGGTGAGCAAAGTAGTATTGGTTTCTTTATTATCATACCCAATGATATATAATTAGAAACATCATTACAATGTAACATCCTTAATAGTACCTTTTTCCAAAGTTGTTAAGTAAAAACTACAGCGTTAAATCATAATTTGGTTAATATATCAGGCACATGATAATAACATTATTCGAATTGAAACGACGCTCCGGATCCCGTTCTCTAGTATAATAAAAAAATTCCATAAATCTTTTTTTTTTTTAAGCAAGCACAAAGTTGCTCGCAACATGTAATATTGCTAGTTATTATTCAATGCAAATCTTTTTGTATATAGTCTTACATTGTTAAAGTATTAATTAGGTATAGACGCCAGCAATAGTTCTTCATCTTCGTTAGAATCAGATGTGTCTACCTCTTGCGAAATGTCTTTCAATTTTATATAGTAGTCCATAATTCTGCTCTACGTAACAAATATAAAATTAAATAAACAAATATTCAATGAAAAAAATAATAAATAAGTTATTTACAATTTGCCCTAAACAATGCTACACGGTAAAAATAAATCAGAAAGACTTGTACCTTAAAAAAATAAACCTTCTTGATTATTTCTTCAAGAACATATGCTTGATCCGCACATACAGGAATTGTAAAAGTTGTTTAAACCCCCTCTCGAATGATGCATCACATAAATTGTCGTTTTGCGTTCTGAAAATAATAAAAAAATCAGTGGCTAACCAGACAAATAAAAAAGGTCATATACGATAAACCAAGACTCCGAAGCTTTGAATACATAATAATTTTTCTTCCGTTGCATTACGATTAAGGTGATGACAGCGTTGATAATGAATTGAAGGAAATTGATATTTCCACACCCTTTTTTGATATTGCCACACCCCTGTTAATAAAAATCAATATAAATTATTAGGG